GGGCTGAAGGTATAAGAGGTGCGGAAATTCATTGAAGACTATCAGCACAGTACGGGGGACAGTGCTTTACTGCAGTGAAGTGTGTACGAATGGATTGACATGTTAAAAAATGGCTGAACAAGTGTCATTGCCGAATGATCAGGGCACTGATCCACATCGACTTTTGAAAGTAACATTGAACAAGTCTGCACTTGAAAACAAGATTCTTGAAAACAAGAGGGTGACTGTCGAAGTGGCAAACCAACTGCAGATTAGTTACGGTTCTGCCTATGAAATCATCCACCACAAACTTTGCTTTATTAAAGTTTGTGCAAGGTGGGTTCCCAAACAAATCACGGAACAGCATAGATGTAACGGTTTGGACATCTCAACTGGTGGTATGAGGAAGGTGATGCTTTTTTTGACTTGCATTGTCACTGGTGATGAAATGTGGATCCATCACTATGAGCCAGAGAGCAAACGTCAGAGAGAACCCTCAAAGATGCTTCAAGAGGCCGTCATTTTGCCAGTGACCATGATTTGAAGGAAGAGGTGCATATATGTATGCCTTCACATTTTTTTCTGAGGGCATACAAAAGCTTGTGTGATGATGGACCAAGTTGTTGAAAAGCAGGGGAACGATGTTGAAAAATGATACTTATGACTTCTGTATTGCTGTTGTCTTAATTTTAATAAATACATTGTGGATATTTTTTGACTTACCCTTGTAATTGGTCAAAATATTACTATTAATTTTGTGTAGTTAATATTCTTTTTGTTAGTAATAGCTGTTTCTTTGAAAAAAAAGTTTGTATTTTCTCTTGTGCTGTTCAGATAACTACTAGTTAGTAGTAGTTCTTCATTGGAAGGTTATACCTGTTTCCTGGCTTCTGATGGCACTCGTGTCAAGAAGTGATCCCTGTCAGTGACGGGTACACTCACTGCATCATTGCTTGGGGAATTGCATATTGCCATGGAGTGCAACTTTAGTCAGGCACTAAAATGAAAGGCCAGAAAAAAGAGAAAATGTCCTCATAGTGGAGAGCTTTTTATGGCTAGCTTGTCATCTAGGCTAATGGACACCTCCACGCGAATCTGCTGCCTCCACAATATCTGAACTGTACACATCTCATATATATCTGAGGAAGAAACAGGTTTCTTCTCATAAACCCTCAAAGCAATAGGACCGTGGCTCAGCCAGTATAAAATACAGCTCTAAAAAGCAGAGGTTAATATTTTCAGCTATCTGATGCCATTAACTTTGCAGTCACATACACATGAGGTACCCAAAGCACAGCTAGGCTAAAAGATGGCAAAGCCTTGGTCCCAGAGAGGAAATCAGTATTTTTAAGGGATCAAGGTAGCAAGAACACTTGTCTTCTGTTTCCTTAGTACTAAAAAGCCTGCTCAGGCTCCAGCCACACTTCCCTTGATGTGCACAATCTTAGGGTATTGTCAGTGGTCATGCTTCCCCAAGATTTCTGTGCTCTTGGCTATGATTACCTTGGTGCAGACTGCAGGTTTGGTGCCAATAACATTCTTGATACCACAGGAGTTCTGTTTTCCCTGATACCTGGCTGTATCAGACACACCTTATTCTCTGCTGTTGAGCTATGTTCTGTCAGTACAAAGAACATCAAAATCACCTGAAGTTCATTTGATACTGGCAGTTTCACTTCAGATCTCTCCAGGCACTCCATTTCAGAAGGATCTTGAGGAAGGGGACTCTGTTGAAGACTTAGAATCATAGAATAATAGGACTGGAAGGGACCTCAAGAGGTCATCGAGTCCAGCCCTCCGCCCTCACGGCAGGACCAAGCATCCCTGACAGATGTCTATCTAACCTGTTCTTAAATATCTCCAGAGAGGGAGATTCCACCACCTCCCACGCCACCTGACTTGGTCTTCATGTGTCAAGTGTCAGTTCTGGGTTCTCCCCCTCACTCCTATAGAGTCTCCTTTCTGGGAAGAGTTAGTGAAGCTGGAACATATATGCCACAACACCTTGCTGGTATGAGCACTCTTGGTTGCCTCCTCCTATGGTTGATGCATCTCCTCCTTGGACATATTGGGACACTTGGGAAGACTCATCAACAGTTTTCCAGAATGTCGAGCACCACCTGCCACAAAGAGAGGCAACTTGTATGACACGTTCCTTCCAAGAGACCTGACCCTCAAGAAGAATCCTTTGAGGAGCAAGAATATAGAACTGATAGTTTTTCTATGGCCAACATCTCCTCCTTTTTATGGCCAGATGATGTCATGTATCCTCAATCCATCATGGATGATTTTAAACATTTTCAAGGATCTAGTCAAGAGTTGCAGACTCCTTGCAGAGTGTCCCTTGGTGACTCTCTGTGAGTTCCATTACCCACCGTCCTCTCCTCTACTTTGGACTCTGGAGCACATTCCATTGTAGAGGAGGAACTGAGGAGCCCAGGTCATGCACGCACTGTTCAAGCGCTGACAGCTTGTGAGGCAGGCACTGCACTTGCACAGCCTATAGAGGAACTGCTGTCAAAATCTGTCCTGCAGTGACACCCACAGGGACATTCATCTTGAATGCTGTCAGTTACTGCACTTGGTGAATAACCTTTTATTTGCATGTGATATTTCTACATTTCAGTGCTCAGATTGTTCTTATACCTGTACTTCCTAAGTCTGCACTTCCCTAAAGAAGAAAACATAATTAGGCAACCAGCAAATAACAATGATTGCCGCTATCTCTGTGGTGTTTCTGAGACCTCCTTTTCAAACAAATTGTGGTAAAGTACATGATTTTCTCATTATGAAATCTCCATGACTTTGTTTTTACGTTTGATAAAGATCCTATTCAGCCTATCAACAGTCTTCCCTCCAGCCCCTCCAAGCGTTCTCCAAGTGCTTGTCAGTGGTTGTAGCCTTTCTCCGCAAGAGCCAGGTATACCTGTACCTCACCGACTGGCCACTGAAAGCACAATTCTGGAAGCAGGTAGACTCTCAAGTCCACCTGGTCAAGACTACCTTAGAGAAGCTAGAATTCCTCCTCAAAGTGGACAAGTCAACTCGGTTCCCCACCCAAAGTATAGAATTCATTAGAATGGCGCTGGAATCAATGTAGGTGAAAGCAGTCCTTCCACAATCCAGATTTCAAGTAATGACCGATCCCATCCAGACCCTCACAGGATACTCCACCACATCACATGGAGATGCCCAAGTTGCTCAAACATACCATCCTGAGGCTCAGACCCCCTAGCTTACCTCTTCTTATCATCCAGGATGGGACATTCTGGACTTCGTTGTGATGATACGAGACCAAGTTCTAGACTCCTTTTGGGAATGGCTAAATCCTCATGCAGCTCCTGAAGGAGTCTCCATCAGCACCCCTCAACTGTCCATGATCCTGGTGACAGCCATATCAGCCCTGGGATAGGGGGCCCACCTGAGCAACCTACAGACATAAGGTCTAAGGTCAGAGTAAGTTCTTGCTTCATACCAACATCAAGGAGCTTCTACTAGTGCGACTAACCTGGCAGTTTCCTGACCAGATTATAGGGACAGAGCATAGCGATGATGACCAGCAAGACTACTGCCATGTTTATATAAACAAGCAAGCAGATCCCTTTTTCTGTCAGGAAGCAATTCAGCTTTGAGAATTTTGTCTAGCCCATTCCATTCACCTGGAGGCATTCTGTCTCCCAGAAGTGTGAAATGAGCTCTGCCAGAGCTCATCTCAGCAGGTGTTCCATCTGTCCAGATATCATACATTCCAACTTCCAAAGGTAGGGATTTTTTCCCAGGTAAATCTGGTAAATAGTTGCTTCCTTCACCTGGACCTTCAATCTCTCCACTCGTGGCTTAGAAGCTTCATTGTTAAATCCTATGGAGTTCCAATGCTCGTAACTGGTGACGTAGCCGATTTGTTTACTTCTTCATTGTATCCCTGTGTTATATAATGGTCATGCCATTTCACTTTCAGAATATGATCTGAAGAAGTGGGTATGTACTACAAAAGCTCATCACCTAATAAACCATCTTGTTAGTCTTTTAAAGTGCTACATGACTGCTTTTTTTGTTAACTTATGTGGCAGAATTAGATAAGTTAATGTAAATACACTTTTTAATACATCTATTTTTAAAAAAGGAAATGCTAAGAACAGTGTGTGTCGTGTTTAGAACTTGCATAGGAAAATGATATTGCTATAAGGAAATTGATATAATGAAATAGCTTCAATTATCTGAAATATCTAACTTTGCAAACATTTACTTTAAGCTTCCAACTGTCTAATTTTGCATTTTCTGTTATGGTGGTAATAGACTAATTTTGATTATACCAATTGATACTGTGGAGAATTTTATTTGCTTTGAAAATTAAAAGTTATTAAATTGAGGAAATTCCAAAATCATAATTTACTGTTTGATAATTTTTCTAAGAAATTCAAAATGAATTAAGGACCTTTAACTCCTCCCATTCATTCTAAGGGCTTGTCTATTACATAGGAACACTCAGGAACATTAATCCAAATTAACCAAAGGTGTGAATTTAAAGTGGATTAGATACATTCAGGGGTTAATGGGGTTTATACATTTACTCACAATTGCAGAACACTTATCTATTTGATTTTGGACATGGGAACTAAGGCTAATTTAATTGTGAATAAAAATGGCCAGGTTGGGAGGGAGGAGGGGGAGATGTTATGTGATTTACCTACTGTAACTTTAAATTCACACCTTTTTGGTTAATTTGGATTCGTTTTCCTCGGTGTATTGATATAATGAAGCCCTAACAAACTTTGTAATATTTGTGCTCCTAATCTGACCTGGAGAACAAGCAGTCTAGTCTGCACACCATTTGCTGCTTGTAGAATCATTTGTCATTCTACATAAGAGGCTGAAAAAGTTTCAAGGTCTGTGAATAAATTTGAATTGCTTAATATTTTTTCCTTTTTAATCGTGTGTTTATACAAGCAAAATGACATTTGACTCTAAAATACAAACACTCTGAAATCCAATTAAAGCTTTAGAATTTGTTTTTTAATCAGCTCATAGGCTACAGTGAGAAACCAGTAAACCTACAGATGTTCATTGGAACAGCAGATGATCGCTACTTACGACCTCATGCATTCTACCAAGTGCACCGAATCACTGGGAAAACAGTTGCTACTGCTAGCCAAGAGATAATAATTACCAGCACAAAAGTTCTGGAAATTCCACTTCTTCCTGAAAATAATATGTCAGCCAGGTGTGTAGCAGCATTTCTCCCAAATTGGAAAGTTAATCATTTGTGTACCCCTTTCAACGCAATGCAAAGGTGAAAATGATGTGTTTTTAAGGTGATTTGGTATAGCCTTAATTGCTTTGATTTTTAATTGTGTACTCATGTAGTGTTTGAGGTTATTTCTGCCAACAAACTTTTTTAAAAATATGCTTTTTGCTACCTGTAGTTGGATTATTATCCTATCTTCAGGCCTCTATGCAAAATCTGAATTGCAGTGATTAAATATTATTTTAATGAACAAAGGAGGAACCTATTAGCTCATCTAAAATGCTACACCCTACTACTTAGAAGCCAAGTCAGCACCATAAATTGTTTCTTACATGAATCAAGTTCAGCATATATTCTGATTTGGATCAGTATGCATATCATTTCTTAGAATGAATAAGAATACTTTTTGAATACTGGATTTTTTTTTAAAGAAAAACGTGGATTACCATATAATGCAGGAACAGAGCTTACTTTACTTACACATTTTAATGTGTATAACTTTATTTGAATTTTTCCATAAAATGGCTTCTCTGTAGTCTTTTGTATTTGTTGTCCCGTAACACTGCTGTGCAGTATCTCTCACCCTATTAATTAGTTGACTATATAACTGTAGTCCCAAATGAGCATTGCTATTTTGAAATTTCAGAAACAGTTTTGGCAGGCCAATGGAGCTGCAGGTTTGGCCATTTAATGACACTGTTTCCATGGATAATTGTACATGGTTATCACTTCTGAGAGACTTGTTTCAAAATAGTCATCAGCCAAGTACTACTGTAATACAAATAATTGACCTTTTGTTTTGTAAAAGTCAAAGGATAGGGGATGTATGTTCCCAAAATATAACATTAGAGCTGAAATACTGTTTGCCCCCCCCCCCCCCCCATTCGAAGGATCATCGTAATAGCTATCCAAGTTTGTGGCACAGAGCAAAATTAAGTTATTTTTAGTTCCAGTTTAGCAAGAGTCAAACTGATACCTGTAGAAATATATTTAATAATTTACTAATATCTGTCTTCTCTTCTTCCATGTGTCTTCTAACCCTTTTTCTTCCTTTACTCCTCCAGTATTGATTGTGCCGGTATTTTGAAACTCCGCAATTCAGATATAGAGCTCCGCAAAGGAGAGACAGATATTGGAAGAAAGAATACCAGAGTGCGACTTGTGTTTCGTGTTCATATCCCACAGCCTAGTGGAAAAGTCTTGTCTTTACAGGTTGCTTCCATACCTGTTGAATGCTGTAAGTTTTGTAGCAATCTCTTATACACATTTAAAATATCTTAATTACAGTTGCAAAAGCTTTCATTTCCATGTTTCAGTAAAATTTTTAGCACTAGGATAGTAGTATGTATGGCTGTGAAATTATTTTTGAAACTGTATTCATTTACTCTTAAGTACCATCAGTTCACAACAGATACGTTTTAGAGTAGTTGGAACATTGTAGATTTAAATGAAAAATTAAAGTAGTATTAAGGTTTGAGTATGTTAAATAGTGTTAATAAAGAAGTTGTCACCTGTAAAATATAAATTTGGGCAGAGCAAAATTTGTAGTTAATGCATAATTTCATGTTTCTACATAACAGCATCAGTGTTCATTTTGGGTGTTATGTAACAAGTTTGTGTAGGTAAACATCAAAGCATTTATTTTGGGGGAAAATACTAATAAATGGCTTCAGTTAACAGATTCTATGTCCTTATTAGAGACCAAGTAGCAGTGTTTCTAATTCAGTAGTTATTTTTGGTATTCATTTGTAAACTACATGTGAGGGGGAATACCTATGTGGGTCATATAAAGAATCTTAAATAGTTTCTGCTAACAATTGTATTGACCATAAAATAATTCAGAAATACTTTTAAGATCGTTTACTAAACTGAAAAGTGAATCCAATGTATGCAGTTAACTTGTTGAAAAGTTTCATGATTGCTTGCTCTGTCAACCTTTATAGCTTATTTAGTAATATAAGTAATTTTTCTGTAACATACTAACTCAGCTACCCCCTGAAGCTTAGTAATTTTAGTTTCTCAGAATATGCAAGTAGATAAACATTTTCTTTTTTTCTAAAAAAAAAACCCCAAAAAGCTCAGCGATCTGCTCAAGAACTTCCTCAGATAGAAAAATACAGCATCAACAGTTGTTCAGTAAATGGAGGCCATGAAATGGTTATGACTGGATCTAATTTTCTTCCAGAATCAAAAATTATATTTCTTGAAAAAGGACAAGGTAAGTTAACTTTTTTAGTTTTTAAAATAACTGCTGCAATTGTGAATGTTTGTGGTAGATTAATTAAAACCTTTGCATGTTGTAATCTCAAACTTCAGTTCTATCAGTGATCTGTGTCTGAGTTAGCTGTGGCAAATAAAGATTGTACAGCTGCTGTCTCAGGAAGATAATTACAAATCTGCATGTCCCTCCCTGAAAACGTGGCACTCTAGAGAAAGTGCTGCTTACTCATGGCATATAATATGCATTCCCCTTCTCTTGTGAAATATAACAGGAAACTATTTGATGCCTGTTCTAGTTTTGTTGGCTCTTTGAGTAATGAGTTTCCTTTGACCTAATTGCTACTTAGGAATTAGCTGGGGTATCTAACTTTCAGGGGAGGAATTGTTGGGATTCCTTCAAATACCTTTTCCATACAGCTTATCCAGAATACCTTATACAAGTTCTGGGAGAACACTTCATCCAGTTTTCTGGGATCCAAAAAAAATTCACTTCAACACCAGATTTTGTCACTCAGATTACTTAATTTGAGATGCAGCAAGCCAATCCAGGTTGTATGAAAACATCTTGCTCTGTATATGTTTACACATTACATTATATTTACTGTGAATTGCATTATACCTTTTACTTTGCAGGAAACATTGCCTGCATAACACGCACTGTCCATGCTCAACCTAGTCTTTACCTCATTATTTTGTTCTTTGTTAGTAATTGGGTGTTCTTCCTCTTACCTTAGGTGGCTCAGACATTGTTTTTTTAGCCTCCTAAACTGTTTACTTATCTTGTTTAGTAGAAATGTTCTGTTTTCAGCCTAAAGATATAGATGTTTACTACCCTAATTCTATCCACTGAGAAATGAGGTGACCCTTCCATGTCTTAATTACTCATGTCAGGTGAGAGCTCAGCTAAAGGAATAAACATCATAATCAAATTCTTAAGAGAATTAAGAGAATCATGCAAGTATGGTGAACATTTAAGAGTCAATGGATTAAAAATTCTTGGTAATCAAGAATGGTGTCTATGTAAAATATTTTTTTCCAAAATATATATAAGACATCAATAGTTCTTTAAAAATTTGGTTCACGAGTCTTGTCTGTTAAAGTAACTGGAATTAAAACAAAAACAAAAAAAAAACTAATGGTCCTGAGCAGCACCTTAGAAACTAACAAAAATGTAGATAATATTATGAGCTTTTGTGGGCACAACTCCTTGCTCCATTCATCTGAACTGGGCTGTGCCCACAAAAGCTCATGATACTATCTACATTTTTTGTTTGGTCCTGCAGCACCTTAGAGACTTTCATTGTTTTAAAAAATTTTATGTTAAATCTAAGCATATAGATTTGCACATATATATTTGTCTGTGTACACTCTGCATAGCCAGTCAATGCCAAATGTGTGACTAAATCAGTTAAATGCAATATGTGAAATGCTAGATGCTAAAGTGACCACTTCCTCATCTACATACCCAAATTGTGCATGTATATTGGATATTTATTTACTTAAAATATTTTTACCCCATTTCTCTATTTAAAATATTCGAGGTGGCTTACAAATTTAAAAAACACAAAATACAAATAAACACACACACACACACACACACACACACACACACACACACACACACACGTGTGTGTGTCTCGCCGAATTGCAGCGAGCCCTGCTTGCCAGCTACATTGTCCAGCGATCTGCGCGTGTGCAGATCGCCCGAACCCGGCTCTTCCGGGTTGCAATCTACTTGCCACGGGCGAGTAGATTGCATTATTTGTCGAGCCGTGTGTGTGTGTGTGTGTGTGTATAAATAAAATTAAACAACGTACGTGTGTGTGTGTGTGTGTGTCTCGCCGAATTGCAGCGAGCCCCCTTGCCAGCTACATTGTCCAGCGATCTGCGCGTGTGCAGATCGCCCGAACCCGGCTCTTCCGGGTTGCAATCTACTTGCCACGGGCGAGTAGATTGCATTATTTGTCGAGCCGTGTGTGTGTGTGTGTGTGTATATATAAATAAAATTAAACAACGAAACTTCAGAGGGACATAAAACCTGCTAAAAAGATCTCGAGAGGAGACACACGCACAAACTCGAACACCAGTAAAAGCATGAGTTAAAAGGGTGGCTTTAGCCTGATGCTGAAACTATGCTAACGTTGGCGCCTTGTGAATATCCCAAGGAAGAGAATTCCACAGCCTGGGAGCAAAAGTGGAGAAGGCCCTGTTTATGCATAAATGTTAATCTTATATCCATAAGTGGTGCAACACTGAGCAGAATCTCCCCCGCTGACCTCAATCCCCGGGCAGGTTCATATGGGAGAAGACGGTCCTTCAGATACCCCGGACCCAACCCATTTAAGGATTTATTGATCGTAACCAATACCTTAAATTGTGCCTGGAAACATACCGGAAGCCAGTGCAGCTGCCGGAGCACTGGCATAAAGTGCTTCGTATAATGAGTATAGTAATTCCTCATTTAACACGGTAGATACATTTCAGAAAATGATCGTGCTAAGTGAAAACATTTTGTGTGGGGTCAATTTTCCCATTGAAAATAATGAAAAAGGTGGGGGTTGAGTTTCAAGCGGTAGTGTTTTCTCTTGGTGCTGAGTCGTCAGCGTCAACATTAGACCCATGTACTGTACAGTAAAACTCTAAGGCTGCGTCTACATTGGTGCAATCTTGCTACCTGTCTACACTGACCGCGAGTTCTTGCGCAAGTACACTGATGTTCTAATGTATGAAATCAGTGCTTCTTGCACAAGAACTCTGATGCTCCCGCTCAGGAATGAGCCCTCTTGTGCAACTGTTCTCGTGCAAGAGGCCAGAGCAGACAGGCAACATGAATTTCTTGCGCAAGAAAGCCCTATGGTTAAAATGGCCATCAGAGCTTTCTTGCGCAGGAGGGCATCTACACTGGTATGGATGCTATTGCGCAAAAGCACATCTCTTCTGCAAATGTGCATGCCAGTGTAGACGCTCTCTTGTGAAAGAGATTTTGCACAAGAACTCTTACACAAAAGAATTCTTGCACAAGATCATGCCAGTGTAGACATAGCCCAATTGTCCGGTATCCAGTTGTCCAGCATCAACTGGAACCCACAAGTGCTCCGGTCAGCCCTTTTCTCAGCCGGGCTGCTGTGAGCCACATGTGTGCTTGTGGCTCCAGCCTGCACTTGCTAGCAGCTGGCTGCTGACCACAGGCAGCTGCCTTGGGACCAGGACATAAGGTTGGGGGAGAAAGGGGACTGGGTTAGAGCAGGGAGGGGAGGTGTTTGGCTCTGGGGAAGGGAAGGGGAGAAGAGGGGAGGGGAATTGGGTTGGGAGTATGTCCCTGTGATGGGTCTAACAGGACCTGCACTGTGTCCGGCAAATGGGGAACAGTGCAGCGTGGTGCAGAAAGCGGCGAACCCTCCGCCACTTTCCAAGGGAAGCCCCACACAGCTGCCAGCAATGGGTCAGCAGGGGAAACCCAGCCTGCAAGCAGGGGCGGAGGAGAGGGGGCGAGGCGTCCACCTCCCTGCAAAGTGGCAGAAGGTTCGCTGCTCGCCGCGCCTTTTCCCGCCCGACCCCCCCCTCGCCAGACGCAATGCGGGTCCTGGCAGACCCGTCACAGCTGTCTTATAGTATCTCCCGGTATGCCAGATTATCGGAAGTCTACTGTATTACTGCTGTTTTCACGATTAATACTGCCACATGAAGTAGTCCACCAGTTGATTTTTTTTCATGTTTCAGGGATGGTTGTGTTATTCAGAAAACGTTCCCTTAAAAAAAAAAAGTGCTATTGCTAAAACGTGTTAAGCGGGCACGTGTTAAATGAGTAATTACTGTGTTAGTTAAAACTTGAGCAGCTGCATTCTGGACCAGATGAAGGTTCTTTAGATGCACCCCTACATAAAGTGCATTACAGTAATCCAGTCGGGATGTAACAAGAGCCTGGATCACTGTGGGCAAGTCATGCTTGTTCAGGAAGGGTCGCAGCTGGCAGATTAGATGAAGCTGCCCAAAGTCGCTCCTGGCCACGGAAGAAATCTGGTTCTCAAATGTTAAAAAAAGGTCCAGGAGGACTCCCAAACTGTGTTCCTATTCTTTTGGGGGAGAGTAACCCCATCTAGAACAGGTTCCATGCCACTTTTCCAAACAGATGGCCTCCTGATCCACAGGGCTTCAGTCTTATCTAGATTCAAGTTCAGCTTGTTTAACTTCATCCAGTCTATCACTGCCTCCAGACACCAGTTTAGATCAGTCACTGCCACTCTTGGTTCTGATGTCACACGGAAATAGAGGTGGATGTCATCTTCATGTTGATGGCACCATCCTCCAAAATTCCTTATAGCCTCTCCCAGCAGCTTCATCTAGATGTTAAGCAGCATAGGGGACAAGATGGAACATTGCGGGACCCCGTAGCACAATGACCACTAGCAGCCCCCTAGTTCCACCTTCTGAAAGCGTCCCGACAGGTAAGACCGGAACCACTGCAGAACAGTGCCTCCAATGCCCAACTCTGCCAGGTGTTTCAGAAGGATACCATGGTTGTTGATATCAAAAGCCGCTGAGATGTCCAAGAGAATCTATCTATCTCCTGGCGTAGGTCATCTACTAGGGAGGCCAAGACGGTTTCAGTTCCAAAACCTGGCCTAAAACCAGACTGAAATTAATCTAAATAATCCATTTCTTCCAAGAAAGCTTGGAGTTGCAGTGCCACCGCCTCCTTGAGTACCTTGCCCAAGAAGGGAATATTAGCAACTGGGTGATAGTTATTCAAATCACGTGGGTCCAGGGAAAGCTTCTTTAAGTAGCAGTTTTATCACTGCCTCTTTCAAGGCGGTGGGAACCATACTAGATCTAAAAGGTGAATTCATAATCCCCGGGGCCCAGCCAGTCATCCCTTTCCGGCTAGATTTAATAAGCCATGAAGGGCAGGGGTCAAGCGAGCAAGTGGTCGGTCGCACTCCTCCAAGCACCTTGTCCACCTCCTCAGTCTGCAATAGCTGAAACTATTCCAAAGGAAAA